CCACTTGGATAACTTTATACTGATTAAACATTGCTTGTAGATGCACCAATCTATACTGTAGACCCGCCATGGCAGCTCCAGATAGATATCGCTTTTGGAACAGGGATGTTGCTGCTTGTCTCAACTACATGCACATCCTTCGTGAGCTTCGACGTAATGGCATGGTTCCTCATAGGTTTCGCCGGGTTGCTGTTGCTCCTACAAGACGTCGAAGAAGAGTGGACGATCAGGAGCAACCAAGAACTAGAATACGCTTAGACGATGATTCTCCGTCCTAGTTATCGCTAGGACACATCTAGATGCCTTCGGGGTAAGTTGTATGTAATAATTTTCTTACATAACTAACTGTATAATTCTTTGTATTCTCTCCTTGGTACTTATTACTCTCACTTGCATGTCGTCTCCTTCGCACGTATTTTATTTTTAATAAAACAGTATGCCCTATCCTTTACGAACTTGGTTACCTATGTCACGGAAAACATATGCCATCTCCACCGCCTGACTTAGGGCGAAAGTTCTTCCAATGGCTTCCATCACTCCCTCTCTCCTCTTAACTTATTGTGACCTAATCCTTGTTCCGTACCCTTCTTACTCATTTTCCTTCGCTTCTTTTCTTCTTTTTTCCCTTTGATCTTAAAAGGGTTTTTAGATTCTATGTACTTTCTGATCTAGCCCAGGCGGGCGAAAGTATATAGTTTCGATGCGCCCATAGTGCTCTTTTTATTTAATTTAATAAAAATAGTTGTTTAATCGTACCCCTGATTTATTTTAGGTAATTCTTTAGTGTTAATTTTATGTGAATATCACACTTCATTAAAAATATGTGGCTTTCTAACAGATTTCTACGGTGTTACATCCATTAGCTAAATATGACTACAGAGCATTTTTAAAAAATTAACGTTAAATATCCTCGTAATATAAAGTCAAGTAAAAGTAAAGCCATTGAATGATGCAACATCCTTAGGTTTGCTGAGGTCCATATTAGCCTTCCTATTAACGCTCATTTCAATAGTTACTCTCTCGGCTATTCTGATAGGCAATTTTCTATTTTATTAAGACGACTGATCAAGTGTTTATGTAAAGAGATACTCTTGCTTTCCTAATTTGCTCGCCATGGCCTACTTTAATAACTCTCTCAAAGGCAGTTGTATAGAGTTTTTTTTTTAAAAAAAAAAAAATTGAATAAAATCAACTCTATTTTGCAGAACCCTTTGCTATTTCATATAACAAATGGCTTGGTCTGCTTTAATCTCATTTGGAACACAAAGAATAAACTGAAAGCTTATATTGTTTACTAAAGAGTTTACAGATGACCGAAACAAACATTACAGTTGGCTAAACAAGGTTGAGTAAATAAATGACGTTTTGATTGATTTCTTTGCATGCTTTATTTATTACTGGTCTGCTCCTCTCTCTTCTAATGTTGTTGGCAGTAAACCGGTACAGGATTTTACCCTAAAATTAGATGGTGTTATTTTTTTTTCTGGACGAATGAAAATAATTTTCAGATGCTTAGCTTACCTTTTTTAGACGAAA